AAAAGCTATAATCATTTTCCAAGAAAATTGAGCCAAAAATTCAAAAAACAATTTTAAATTCAAATTTACCTCAATATTCTTTTTAAAATTTCCATATAAATTCACAATACTAACCCACCTTACATTCATAACTTTCGAAAAACAAATTCATTGTCACGCTATCCGCGTCCTATAAAAAGCAAACAATCATAAACTTATCTTGATCAAAATCAATTTTTTTACATATTTAAATATTGACCGAAAACAATGGGCCTTAATCGCTTCAATCTAAACAATTTCTCAAAAAAAAAATACACGCAAAAGTTGAGTTTCTCGCGAAAATTGGTCAATTTTGAATTAAAATAAAAATTGCCACGTACAAGATATAGAATTTAGACAAAGAAATCAACCCTGATTAGAACTATTATGCAATGATGTTTAAAAATCGATAGAAGGCAATATCAATTGCTACCAACATTGAAAAATAATAAAATATGACCTATGCATACATATTGACTTCTGCATAGAACTTACTTTATCTATTTTATGGATTCACATTTTTTTAAAAATAAAATATAAAAAACTATATTGCGTACATATTAAATAAATTTTTTTATTCTTTCCAAACATGTCTGAACATAAATTTTTATGTTATTCATATTATGAATAAGACCCATGTTTTATTTAGCTGCAAGTCTCTATCTCTCTCCATATATTGTTACCGTTGTTCTACATATTATTAACAGTATAGTTGAAAAAAAATAATAAAAAAGAAATATAATCCGATAAAAAAAGGCAGCTAGCGAAAGAAGGGCAAGGCGTGGTTATTGTACTAACGTTCCAAGGGTTGTATATATCTATTATAATATGAACTTTAAATTAACTTTTTACAGTAAATAGTTTTGTCTAGAGATAATCACCATCAAACAATAATATGGAAGTGAAACGAAAAAAAAAATTACATTTATTCATGCCAAAGGAAGTAAAGTCGGGTCTTAATTTAATTCCTTTATTTTCTAAATTCCTTCCCAAGTTTAGCTGCTCTACTATGTATTGCCTTTTGTTGTGAATGCCAAAAAAAATAACATATTTTTGTGACTTGCTTAATAGATCTTGTTTTGTGAGCATCAAAAAGTTGTCAATACCTTTCTGTTCAACTGTAAAAGGACCGTAAAAAGAACAACAACGTTTGCTTGCTAATCGGCTTAGATGGATTTTTATTATTCGAATGTCACTATTCCGAATCTAGTAAAAACATGGAATTGTAGCAAATTTATATGTTCATTCTTTGTAGCTACACATGCACGCATATATGAATCTTTTGATAAATTGATTGAAAAAAGTAATAATAATAATAATAATAATAATAATATTCACAACAAGAGGAATGTCCCTATGGAGAGAGAGAGAGAGAGAGAGAGAGAGTGATGAGATGATAGGACGATTGAAAGATTTAGTTTCTATGATAACAATGAGCATTGAATTATGAAATGTGCAAATATTGATGTTGCTCTTTTCATTCATTCAGAACGAATTTATTATTATGAGTTTGTTTTTGGGAATTTATTAAGTTTGAAGCGGGAATGTCAAGGATTTAATGAATTTTTTCGACTCTACATGTGGTCATTAGACATTGAATTTGTCATTTTGAAGTTTTTGTGATCGATTGAGTGATTTAAATGCCGAGATGATATTATTTGGTCATCTTGGAAATATGTTGAGTACAATTTGATTATATCCTCTCGGAACTTTATGCATGTTATAAGATTTTATCTCCTCAGAAAGAAATATTCAACAAAATTCAGTCATCTTGGAAAGAACTTTTGAATTGAATTCCTATTGTCTATTTCAAATGTCTGTCGCTTGGTTCTAGGTATGCAATCAGCCGTTTAGACACCATTTCAATATGAGCCAATCGGGAATTCCTTTAAAAAAAACCTTCCAAGCACAAAGACACAGAACCCCCAAATTTATGCATAAATAAAATCATAAAAAGGAAATAGAAAAGACAGAAAAGATTCAGAGTGAAAGGTCCCTTGTCATATATTTTTATTAGCTACAGTAACTTATTTAATCAGCTTAAAAATGGAAAAGAACATTAAATAAGTATAGTGTGAATTATGAAGATAAGTCTCTGAAACCAAAACATACAACAAGAGTAATAACAAATAATAATAATACGGACAGAGACAAACATATACAAAAATAAAAAAAATAAAAGAGATATGTGAGGAGATCTACCAGAGCATACACATTTTGCAATATTCTATTGAAGGCATCATGTTTGAAATAGAAAAGCGAGAAGTGAAAAAAAGATCATTTAACGCTCAAATTGAATTCACTATGCATGAAATGAAATGTTTTATGATTCTATGTGAAAAGTTGATGACAGCCGAGAAGAGGAGAGGATGAAAAAGAAGAAGAAAAGCTTTAAAAACTCAATATGAAGCAAAAAAAAGAGATTGAATTTATAAATATTGACACAGATGGTAGAGATTTTTATTTTGACTCATCTATCGTTCCTCTCACTTTACTTTGATTGTGCTATCCTATATCTAAATTTTTTCTCTACTTCTCTACATCTCATTAGATGACGATGATGGCTTGCTTGCTTGCTTACTTGTCGGGTTGTTTTTTTGTATATTCTTTATAAGATTTCTAAGTATATGGATGCTCTCCTTCTTAATATTGAATGGGGAATATTGAATGTTTTCGTTTTACACACTTAAAACACATCATCAATATCATATAGACAGAAAAAAATACACTTTGATTTGATCAATATTTGCAAAGCTCTAAGCATGGAAAGATACTTTTGTGCTGTGTGTATGTTTAATTTATATACTCAATCGACTTTCTCATTTGCCGCCTCATTTTATTATTATTATTTCTTCTAAAGTGATTTTTGCCATTCCGGTGCCTTTTCTGTCTTCTGCTCCTCTTATTCCTTTCCTTCGTCATCATCATTTTGGATAGGTTTAGATAGGTATTTATTTAAATTTTAATTTTTTCGGATGTATTATTTGACATTTCAAAAAATAATTTTTGACACACGTAAAGTGATTTTTTTTTTCATTTCTTTTCGGCAAATTTATTTGGATAGATCGATAGATATGAATATTGATTGAACTAGAGGTGATACACATTACTGAACTACGCCGACAAAAAAGACTTTTTTTTCTTCTATTTATTCTTAATATCAATACACATATGTATTTTTAATCATTTAATAAAACATTTAATTTTGTCTCCTTCACTTCTTTCTCATCCGTGACTGACTCTTTGCTCTGTTTGATGTTAAGGGTTTTGCTGATTGGGTGTCGAGTGGCAGTGATGAAGAGTATTGAGGTGTTATTGCTTCATCTTTTGAATTTGAATTGGGATTTAAATTAATGCTGTTTCATTTATAAGCCCCTAGACCCCTCCTTACTATTAATAAACTATAGGATACTAGGTTGCAAATCTGGAGCCGGTTTCTAAAACTACTCAAAAAACTTAAATATCTAGTTTAAGAGTAGAGAGCCATGATTAGCTTCCGAACAAACCCCCAACCCCAAAAAACATTTTCAAACACCAAAAATCCGTTAAATTTTCATTACATCTTCAAAGGTGTCATGTCTTTTACTCTCATCCACCACAACCGATATATGTTAAATATATTCAGAAATAAATGTTGTTGTTATAATATTATAAATATGTGTATATTGTGTTATATGTTGGTAAATGTACCTTTATCGTTTGGTGTCAATTTTCAACTGATGATTGACTTAATTCTTTTGTTCTTTCCCGCTTCTCTCTCCTAGCCTTTTTTGGCTTGTTCGAAATGTGTTTATAAGAAAACGACATGGAGTGAGACAGAAAAAGAATCATCAACATCATCATCCCAAAGACCCAACCAAACAGCAAGCATAAGTAAATAATACAAAATCTATCGATAATACAGAAGAGTTAGTCAATTAAAGATATATGTATGTAGAGAACTCCATGTCATTCTTCTTGTCTATAAAGTAAACTCAATCATATATAACAACGTTTATTCAATGGATTTAAATGAGTTCATTAGTGTTCTCAAATTTCCATTTAACCGCTTACATGCATATTCGATTGGAAATGAAGCGAAAGAAGTTATAAAGAAGGGAAAAATGTAATGTCATTATGAATACATTACTACCTACATATCTGTGTGCTTAATGCTCTTAATTCCATACACGATGATATGCTTTAATAATTTGTAACCTTAAAAAAATCACTGGCTATTTATAGTTGTTAACTAGAAAATGCAGTCTACCGATTATAGACATACTGTCAATTTGTATTAAATTTTATATTTATTTAATGTGTGAAAATGATAACAACAATTAGGGAGTCATTCGCTAATGATGTTATTCGAAAACAGGATTTTTTGACAACTTACCCCCCCCCTCACCCCCCCCTCACCCCCCCCTCACCCCCCCCTCACCCCCCCCCTCACCCCCCCCCCCCCCCCCCCACACCCCTTTTTTAAGGCATTAGATGTAATATCTATATAGATGTCTTTCTCCCACGAAAATGATGCACTTAATAACTGAACGACCCTACTAGCTACAAACTAGTTCTCTAACTTCCCAAACACTCACTACATGATGATAACAACACCGATCACTCATTGATAACAGCCAGAAATTAACATGATTTCTTTTCAACAAACAACAGTAATTTTTATTTTATTTTACGTCTCGTTTGTTTGACTAGCGATAAGTCACTTAATGTTCTCAAATATGTATTCATATTTGAACAGCAATCATGATAATGTCGATTCGAACAACACAAAAAAAAACTTCAAAGAAACCAGCTCGGAACTTAATTATTGAATGAAAAGTTATTAATTAGTTTTTGTGTTACGCATTCAGGCAGTCATTAATGATAATTATAATGTATGTCGATTAGATTCTGATTTTTTTTTTCATGACGCTAGTACTTGAGATTACTCGAATTGATGTCATTTTTAATACTTATTTGTTTTTTATTCTAATTCTTTACAGAGCAATGTCTCATCAACCTCAGCACCCTCATCTCCACCACCAGTTCCGATATCAGCATCAACAGCAAACACAGTGCCGCCGGGTGCTCGAAGTTCATCACCATGTTCGGCTACATCAAATGGTCCACCAAGTTCACGTTGCTGCGATACTGGACGACCTCTGTTTACAGACCCAATTACAGGTCAAACAGTGTGTTCCTGTCAATACGATCAATCGATTATTAATTACCAAAGACTAGCAAGTGGAATTGCTCCACCATTATCAATGTATAGTTCACCATATTCAGCAGAAACAATGGCAGCATACTTTCCTGCTCTGAGTAGTGATCAGCAACCATTTTATCCGAATCCAGTAAGTATCTCTATGCATTATCATCTCCAACATGTTCACTCGTCGTGTCACTACACTTAATGACCTCAAACTAGTTTACCATTTTTACATGTGTCTACATTTTTCAACATTTTTATGATAACTCTATTTGCTGGCTAAAAAGGAATGAAGTGTATTTTATATACGACTGATGCTACTGCTACCACTTTTTATATCCATTTTCAACGAAAAAAATTTTTTTTTCTGCCGATGCCTGCAAAAATAAATTTTAATAAAAACGACATGGATAGTTATTCTGTTGAACAATCAACTCTCCTGAGGTTATCTCTTACTGCTAGTGCTGTGCTACTACTAGCAGCAGCTAGGAAAAAATTGCAAACATCATGAAAGAGAGGAGTGAGAGAGATATGGAATGTCGAGTTTATGCAAATGCGAATAAAATCATAAAATTTATACCAAGCCATGCAATAACATTTTCTATTTCATGTGCAATCTCTTTTCAACTGAAGTGATGGTATTTGTTGCCAACCAACTCTCTCATTCACTCGCAACACACAAAATGTGTCATGTTTTTCAGCAATTTTTTTTATTTCGTTCGTACTTTCCGTCTGAATTCTATGGCGTAGATATTGTGTGCATTATAAAGTGATATTGTGTACTTTCAATACATATTTGGTTTTAAGAGAAAATTGATGAAAAAAATAAAAGAATGTGACTTGATGGTGATGGGGAATAGGAGAGTGAAGGAATTAAAACTTGGTTGCGCTGAAATGCGATGTATTTTGAAGCAGTATGAATCGGTATGAAAATCATGAGCTTGCCTAGTTAAATGCGACTTTATAGAATCAAGCCTTCACTTTTGGGTAAGAATAAATTTTGATTGCGACTTGGGTAGGTTGCTCTGAAAAGCAGCCGGTTCGGGTACTTTAAACTTTGAGTCTAGTCCTTCCAATATCATAAACACTTGACACTCTTCCTACCACACACAACACTATTCATAGACTGTCAGCCACCTTTCCAGACAAACTGATCCTTATCACAATTTTATTTCAAAAACTACAAATAAAAAGCCATAATAGACAACCTAACTGAGTAGTTGCAGTGACTCTACATCTGCACAAAACATAAAATAGCATAGATAGAGACATGAAGCGACAAGAAATACTAATAAAAATTGAGAATGATGTCTGATGTCAAACATGAAATGTAATTTTGCCGAAAAATTTTTATAATACACGTCGAGATGCAGCAGCAGCAACAGCAACAATAATATTGAAAATTCACTGTTTGATCACGTTTAAAAAAATGCCTTCGCTATGTTAAATTTCGATTCCTTTATTATTTTTACATTGTGAACATGTGAACATGCTTACATATTGATGGAACATACATATACATGCATAAAATGCTGAGCCCTCCAACTTCAACTTTGCATCTCCAAAACCATGTCATACAAATTTCAACTATTTGCCATAACATTCAAAAATTTGCCATGCATACGCTTTCTACTTTCTAACATATAGATATCTTGTTCATATCAGTGAATAAACGAACATACGAACGACAGACAATTCCCTTAAGGCACTTTTCGGAATTTTATTTCATTTCATGACTTGGTTGTAGCATGAACATGTTTACATAAAAGTGTGTTTCTTTCTCTCGTTACACGAATAGATTTTTTTTTCATCATGTAACTGACTCTTTTTTTTTGCCAAAAAAATAATATTTGTGTATGTTCGAGGAGAAAAGGCAAGAAAGGATTTGGCTTTGAAATTAAAATTTTCCTTACTGTGATTTCTTTATGTTCACAAGTTGTGTTAACAACATTAGTGATCAAACATTATGACATTTGGAAAAAAAATCAATATGTATTGCTGTAGGATTAGGTTTGCCCGAGATGTATATGATGTGGTAGGGATACAAAGTTTTTATTCCTCTTAAGATCCTATTTCTAATGAACCCTTACTTCTGAGTAGTATTTTTAATTACTGGCGCCAAAAACTAGTCTCTCCTTCCAACTCTACAACCACAAATATAAATTCAGATAAATAAGTCAATCTTGAGGTCACAAAATTCCCTTGAGTACACTGAATTTAATCCCTCACACATCCATATACGGCTCGGTCACCATTTCAACATTCTTCACTGATGACAGGATCAGTCAAGAATAAAAAGAATCAGGCATGCTCACACATAAATTATGATTCAATAAAAATTCTTATGTTCCTATAATGTGTGTGATGTAATATTAAAATAAAATGTAAAGATTCTTATAATAATCATATAAACACACATGAAATGAAATTCATCATCGGATTAAAAATTATACACGCAGCGCTCCCTTTCAGCTCACTCCTTTTTACTTCAATCCTCATTCTCATTGCCATCATCATCCAGAACACATTTCATTCAAGCGAGAACGAGCTATGAAATGAGAAGAAATTAAACACAAGTTTTTAAGTTAAAAATATGAAGGAATACAATAAGAATTTGCTGCTGTTTGCATGAATAAAAGCCAGAATCGTCACACACAATGTTATTTTATAGTCATTTCAAATAACTTTAATATGAGATTATGATTATATTATTAATGTTATTCTATATTGAAAATACAATGACTTAATAGCGAGTTATATCACTGATTTTATTCTCTCACACTCATCGTACATATATGTACATCCAAACGTGTATTCATCCATAGTCCGCCGTCGTCTTTTATACGATTTAACTGATAATGTTGAAAATTGAAAATTGAAGAAGCTTGTTTTTATTTATTTATATCTTCTCTCTTGTTTCTTATTATTATACTTAATTTACCTCTTATGGATGTTTGTTATTGCTGCTATTTTTATTGTTATTAGCGTTATAATATAGCTATTATGCACCTAAATGTATACGAATGAAATATGGTGCGACATTATTATGTATGCCTTAAGACGGTGAGAATGCTTCTGCTGCTGCTTTTCTCTTAAGCCTCAGGCGCTTTTAATCGGTAGTCAGAACATGATGGACTGACTGTCGCATTGAATTGAATTTTGAAATTTTTTAACGCACTTTCAAGATTTAAATTTGTGAAGTTCTAAGATTTAGGTTCAAAATTTTGTACAAAACTCAAACTTGAAAAGTCGGTTATGAGTAAAATCAAACAACATTCAACAGATTTGAACAGATTTTAAAGATTTGAATTTGCGATGTTCAAAATTTCAGGTGCAAATTCAAGTATAAAATTTACGTTAGATTTATTTCCGATTATATTTCCAATCTAAAGCTGAGTATTAAGGACAAAAATTGCTTGAATCTTAACAAACAAGCTAAATTCCAGCCAATAAGACCAACTGCAAGTGAAAAGCAATTTTATTCAATAAATACTCTTCTTTAAAATGCATACAGTGAAACTATATCTTGCCAACAAGCTATTTTTTCTCTTTCTATAATTTGTTGATTTCATATTTACGCTTTTCAATTAATTTTTATTAAAAAAGAAAAGAAAAAAAAATGAAGAAGAAAAATTTATGTGTGTGGATTTAATATACAACAATATACACAATATGTTATAAGAAGCACACAAGAGGAGAGGAACATGATACAAACTTTTAAATCAGTTGTTATTTGTCAATGTGAATTAAAAGTCGTGTTTTTTCCATTCAAATACTTTGAGTCTCATATTCTCTCATATCTCTCCATCTCGCTTCCCTTTACCACATTATGGCTATTAGCTTTTCATGAGGCCGGTATTATATGAATTTAATGATTCATTGAGCTCACCCGAGAAACCGATTGAAATCATATATAACAATTCAGTAATGTTTATGAAAAAAAAAGCTTCCATTGGATATAATAATAATAATACATATTATTTTATGATCAAATTCAATACATGAGAATGGAAAACAATAAAGCGTTATGTGTGGTCAAAAGTTTGATTTCATTTTTCTTTTTCAGTTTATTCATTCAGCTTCAAAGGAGAGAAAAAAATTGAAATGAATGTTATTATTATTACTTTTATTGTTATATTTTGGATACTATTAAAAAGCAGCTTATTATTAGGTGGGTGCATAGATTTCAGGGTATCATATTCTAATGATCTTTTTCTAATGGTCTTCTTAATTTCAATGAGAATCAACTTTCTAAGTTGAAAGAAATAGCTTACAGACAATATCACAAGTCAGACTACAAGTCGGACCAAGTTCGACCCCCCCCCCCCCCCCTTAGAGGTGCTTAATATATTCAATTATTACAAAGATAAGAAATTGATTTTTTGAGAATTAAAGCTATGCTAGAATGATGAGCCTTATGCAAACTTACAAGATTTAACATCAACAATGTGTAGGTTTAGATCCCTAAACCGTCGTCTTTTGATTTGTTAATGCAATACGGGAGCATTCAGGAACCTGCTTACCCTAATCATAAGAAAATAGCTCTTAAGAAATTTAAGGTTTAGAACTAAAGCTCTTGTTTTGAGATAAAGTAATTCAATAGCGGATTGACTACCCTGTTTTTTCGTTATAAGCTAGTAGCTTAGAAGAATAAAAAAGTGATTTTTTTGGCTCACTAGTAGCTTAGTAAAGAAATTGAACTTCAATAAAAATTCTGAATTTTTTAACTTAATTAAAGAAATTTTGCTATCTTCTCGATTTTATTTCATTGACAATGTCATTAGGCATTGAAACTGATACTTAGAAAGTTGAAAAAGATTAATTATACTTTATTTTTGGTAGTACCTTAGTAAAGATTACAAAAAAATTTCAAGTTCAAAATAACTTAACTAAGCTAGTAGCTTAGTAACGAGTAGTAGCTTATAACGAAAAAACAGGGTAAGTGAATTGGAAAGCAAAATTCATTATACTTATCTGGCAAACCTAGAAAGTCACACTTCTAAAATATTTGAGGTTCGAATCCCATGTTTGAAGTTGGTAGAGTCTCATAATGCATTTGTTTGAATTAAATTATAAATGATTGGTTCCTTATCTTAGCCCATAAAAATACACAGCTTTCAAAATATCCAATTCCCATCTTAAACAACAGTCTATTGAAAAATGATCACGTGAAAATAAAAGTGTCCATAAAATACCAAACCCACCCAATAATATTTAATCTGATGTTAGATTGAAGAAAAAATAGTAAAATTGTGTTCACAATAGCATGATTGCATTAATTTAGCCCCGAATTGATGGAAGAAGAAAATTTTATTATAATTAATGATGTAGTTGAATATTAGTAGCAACAACAACAGCAACAATCTCCCATATTTTATTTTACTATATCTAAATACACATTTATTCATAGCTCAAAAAAAAAGCTCAAAATTGGATAATGTTCTTTTGTTGTGTTTTGAATCTTTTCATAAAAACCTTAAATAAATAACAATAGCAATGCTAATGTTAATATTCACATTCCCTACCAGCAATATATTTTCCCTTTCTCATCGGTACACGTCACTCAGTGAAGCTAGATGCATATGATTTATTTAATGGAAAATTGTTGCCAAAAAACTTGTAGATAATGAAGTAATTAGTTAATATAATCATTAACTCTAACAATTCAATTAACATTTAACAAGATGCACTTGCATAAATTTTGAATAATTTTTGTGCGTGTATTAATTTTTTTTATTACCAAAATTCGTGTACAGATTTTACTAATAATAATGTAATTAGCTACATGCAAGCCTGTATTCGATAAGCTTAGCTTAGAATAGAGCTCATGAGCAGGGGAGGAGCTGTGAATTTTTTTGAGAGGGATTTGGGAGAGGTAGACTTGAAATGTCTATGTCAGAAGAGTTTAACGAAGTCCTAGTCGACAAGAGAGAGAGAGCCATAGTCGTTTACAGGGGCCCTAGATGTCAAGAGGGGGTCTTAACAATAAAAAAAAGTCTTAAGTTATCAAGAATAGATTCCTAACCATCGAAAAACAGGATGGGGCTAGTTGTCAAGAAGCCCCAATTACAATCCTGTTCAGAATGAAATTTATTACTAGATTCTAGAATATTTTTATACACTCATTTCATTTTTATTGCTGTATAAAATAACAATTTAAAGAAAACAATAAAATATAAAGTAAAAAACAAGTAAATGATGAAATATAAAATGTGAATGATAACGAAGTGTTTAATGTTGTGTTGTTTTATTCACTTATTCAATTAGCTTATATATTTTTGCAGAAAGAAAAAAAACTTCATCAAAAAAAAATTCTCATTGATTGTAGAGGTCATCAGGTCATATTCCAAATACACATGACGTTATCAGCATGAACTGAAAAATTATTTTTTAAAATTAAATGTTAATGTGACAAAAAATCATGTCTCGTGTCACAAATATTATCATTATCAGCATATTTAAATTAATTTTCCTATCGCTACTCGCAACTTTCTATTATCAGTGACTTGAACATTTTCTTTTTATTTTTCGCTTTCTTTAAAATAGACACGACATTTAATTAAATCAACATAATATTATTAATGATTCGTAAATCATCGTGTTAACATTGTAATAAATTATTTTGTTTATTTCAATATTTACAGGCTGCAGCCGGTTTAGACTTAAAAGAAAATTTAACTGGAAGTCCATGGCCTTATCCTCCCGTTTATCCTGGCTACGATGCTGCTCTTGCTGGTTATCACTTTAATGGGTAAGTTTACAACTTTAAGATTATTTTATGATTGAATCTGAACTTGTGGTACACACTGAACATTAATATGAGCTTTGCATTAAAGTGTGATTTAAAAAATTACTGATGCCTAGGTATAGACTTTTTCTAGCCTTTACTTCATTGGCTTCAGTTTGCCGACATAATAAGGATCAAAACTTATGATTATATCATTAAGAAACTTGTATTTTATTAAGTCAGTCTATATATAAAGTTGGTGCAATGATCAATAATCATATCTTAATTCTGCCTGAATATCTGAATCCAGGAGAAGATTTCAGTGGAATGTTCACTTAGTAGCCCTATAAACCATTGCAAGTCTCAGATGTGATATTAAGCAAATACTTGAGCAATGCTCTATGATCTTCCACTTATAAGCAAGATAACAAAAAAATTTTATGTCTATTGACCGTCCATTATCGTTCCATAAACACAACTCATGTTCCAAGCTATAAAAAATTGCCGCAGAAACACGAAAAATTAGCCAAAAACCTCTCATTTATCTACTTAAAAGACGAAGAACCACCAACAGCAATAATTTCAATTTAAACTTGATTGGGTTGGATTTACACGTAAATCTAAAATATATTCCAAGATAATCTACCACAATTTTTATAAAACGTTGTAGTCGCATAAAAAATTTAAAGATAATCTTCACCTTCACTCCTGTCGGCAAATGGATTTTAAAGCTTCATAGATACTTCTGGGAACTTCAAAAGACAGCATTAAAAATTGATCTATCAAAAAGAAGTAGCAGAAATAAAGGCTTGACATAAAATATTTATGAGAAAATTCCTGAAACAAGTATGATGATAATAACTCACATAAAACTTAAGCAAACAAGCTTACTAAATGAATGAAGGACACCGCTACCGAATTTAAAAAAAGACTTTAACATTAAAAAATTAAGATTCGTACAGATCTTTAAAATATTTTTAATGTTCCTTTTTATGGCCCTCTTAAATCTACAAATTTACTTCTCATTCCTCAAAAAAATGTATGAAAAATGTAGCTTAATTTTTCTTGCTTGGCAAATATTTTTTTTGAGCATCTTAAATTTTGTTGCCTGTCATTAAATATTTTTATATTTTGTTTAAAAGATTATTCGGAGCTACATTTATCACTTTGTGATGACAAATCAAACATAACAGAAAAAAACTTTCTTTGAGCAATCAGGCCACAAAAAAATGAATATTTGAGCAAATCGTCTACAATGTCTAATGATTGCTAAGTAGTTTTTCATTAGCACACAAAAATATATATCACACCGTAAGCATGAATGTTAAGAAGAAAAGACAAACTAATGAACAAACAATTTTGTTAACAATAACATGAAATTTTTTTTACACTACTCGCTAACGAAATTGTTAATGGTTATAGGATGATGTGTGTGATGATTGATTAAATTTGTATAATCTTTAAAAATAACTTAAAGCCGCCTAGTTTTCATGTATGTAGAACATTCAACCCACCCAATTTTATTTTTCCTTGCTTTATTTTACACGAGAAATATATTTCTCTTTATTTTATCAGAGTTTTTGCGATTTCATCTGAATGGATGTAGGGCAAATATTTTCGTAGTTGCCCTTAGAATTCAGGCTTTACATTTGATGATCTAATTGTGTCATTTTGTCTTAGTTTTATATAATTTTAAATTCTTTTAAGATGTAATTAAATGTTTAAAAAAATAAAATTAGAATTAAACTGTAAATGTAGATGTTGCAACTTGTAGTGGCTTTTAACTTACTACTGGCTTCATCATTCTTACAAAAATTAAGGAATCTGACTCCCCTCATATCCCCAATCTAAACTTAATAGTACTTTAGCGATCCTTTAAGTTGGATACTTTATTTTAAATATTCATTAGCACCTGGCATCAACTTGGGAAAAACTTGGATTGGATATAGGATGCCTTAATTATAATCTAATCCTCCAAATCTATTCGATTCATAATCTAAGCCATTGGGTGGTCCAAGAGTGTCTGGATAATGCAAAATTACTAGAAAAAAATTCAGAAGAACTCTTGAAGGGTTTAGATACTTTCAAACATTAGGGTTTGAGTAGTTAAGTGCCTTGCTAGTCGAATAGGTAAGGCGCTTGGCTCGAATTTGGGATGGTAACTCGAAGGTCGTCGGTTCGAATCCAGCCATTTCCAAATGTGTTCTTTTTCGGAAGTTTAGATACTTCGACTGCTTAATGTAGAAGATCAAGCCATAATTGGGCATTTGGGCAACGTTGGATTAAGGAACGGGTCAGGAACTTGAAGTTTAGCGGGAGAAATAGGAACGAGAGCTACAAGATTACCCACGAATGGAAAATTGTTAGAACGGACCTAAAAAGTATCACGTCACGCATACAGAAGATCGAAACGAGAGCCGTAGTTTATTTGAAACCTAGATTTGAAGATTAGAAGTTTGATCCTACATAATATTAATTCATGTGTATACAAATACAAAAGTGTAAAATGTGAATTATTACCGGACAGTTTGTCCGATTTCAACCTCAACTCATTCAATTACTCAACTCTGATTCCTATTTCATTATATTTTTATTATTGAACAGCATCAGCAGTAGTAGTAAAGACTGCATTGTTAAAAAAAATCTTATTTAATGAACAATGTTCTTATGAAATACATATTTCTTTTATAATTTCTGCAACAGCAACAAAAACAAAACGTGTAAAGAAGCAATTTTTCTTTACGAACGCAAATTCAATTACCAGAAAAAATTGTTGCAGAGGCGTTTCAACTTAAACTTTTGTATACATTTACATAAATACACAATGAGGTATTCAGACAGAGAACTTTATCTTGCATATTATCTCAAATTCATTACAAAGGAAATAAAAATGCGGTTGCAATTTGAATAAAGATATTATTGGAATATTGCCGTAAAGAAGAAAAAAACTACTTGATGTCTCAAGAAGTGTTTATACCCACACGATTGCGATTTCTCGTTGCCTTTTGCAACGAAAAAAAATTTATTGAAATTGATGCGGATGCTTTCTCATTCTTATCATCAGAAATGATCTTTGTTGTTTTTTTTTTTTTTTGGAAACTCGAAATGTCATTCTGTTCCTTTTTTTCTCGTTTAATTCTACTAATGGATCTATACATTATTATCTCTCATTAAAAATGCAAAAGGAACAAATTTGATCCTTATACGCTATCTCTCACACCTGCGTATTTTTGTCGCATTGTAAATATGTTTAAATGTGCACTTTTATCGCTTTCAAATACACACGCAGTGGATATACATTAAAAAAATGTTGAATTTTTAAACTGCATAAATTTTATTTTTTTTTTGTCAATTGGACAATTTGCTTCGTACAATGTGTGTAAATTGTAACGGAACTGTTGCTCTAGAACATTTTCATTGCAATGCTCAACAAAATTTGTATAATTATTGTTTTTCGCATGCGAATAACATAAGCAGTAATAAATCAATTACTCGATTTAATACTTGTCAAGATTTATAAATACACGAGAGTTATGTATCAGTCAGGTCTAACATACCTACACAATTTAATTGATATAATAAAAACAAATTAAACGAGTTTTATACGATATAAATTATATTTACATTTATGAAGAGAGGAGATCAAGCAAAAATTACGCATTCATGACAAATTGCTTGTGATCATCAAATGGTGTTTACACATAAGCAGTCACATTCATTCATACAATTTCATTTATTCGGTTCTCTGTCGTTCATTCTTCTGTATTCTCCATATACGCAATCTCATAAATATCAACAATTTTCAAATGAACGGCAGGGTTGGGATCTGTTGTATGACTGTAATATTAAAGAATTAGAAATAGTTGTGGGGTCATGGAATCATCCATTGTCAGTTATTAATCTTAGGGGCGGGATGGCTACAGTCTCAAGTTGGAGGCAAGGATGTGGAACTGATCAATCCCATTTTAATCTATTTTCATAATTATTGGTAACCTTTTGATCCAATTTTATTTGAGGTTAGGACAGCACACGGACAGATTTCATCTTTTTAAAATGAGACTGTTGATTCAAGACCGCTAGACTAACCCTTAATCATAGCTTATCACAGAACCTAGTCTTACAACGGTAAATTCGTGTACGAATAATTCAATAAATCAATTTCCATACTAATCCAATAACATGGCACTAAATAGAACAACTCTGGTCCAAACAGAAATAATGTAAACCAAAGAATTTTTTCAAATTCATTACCGGAAATTTAAATACAAAACGTTGATCATTCAAAATGAATAAATGTGAATAATCAAAATATTTTTGTGTCTATTAACAACACAAGCAATATGGAATACAGAAGAAAAATGTGTAGTGCGCCTCAAAAATACAAATAATAAGAATAAAAAATGTGAAATTTTTGTGTCTCTTAAAAATTCTGGACACATAGCGTCATGACGTATTTTTAAGAGTCATTAAAATAGTTTAACGTACATGCCTTCCAACTTTAACATTTTCAACAATATATCAATTTCATTCTCTCGTCTCACTGTCTCTAATTAGACTGGTGTGATGTCAATTGTCATTTTTTATTGCCTCTTGTGACGTTAATAATTTTTTAAGTGCAGCAATTTTCTTTAACTCTAATTCCTGTCCGGATGAAAAATCGAAATCGCTGATTGAGCAAAAAATAAATAAATTCAATTCCTTTCATTATTAAGCATTTATTCATATGACAAATGTCCTATGAATCTGCCACGAAAATTCAAACAGATGCTTATTTCCAATTCCTGCATATTGCAAAACGATTGAAATGCATTTGAAAGTTCGGATTGTTAAAAAATGATCTATTGCTGTATATCGAGTTGTGATGAGGAGTGAGAGGAAAAAAAAGTGCATAAAAAATTTACTGCGGCTCTATATGCTTTCTATTTCTTCCGTGTGCAACATTTTCGAATGCATTGAAGTTAAAAACTGATTTTGACATTTTTAGAAATGAATGAATGAATGAGTAATCAATATGCATTCACTATTGTCTCCTGACTTTTTTAAATATTTTTTAAGCCGTTCTTGCACTACAGCGAGACTCTCTTTTTTAAATTAATTAATTACCGCACCAAGAGAGGCAGCAGCCAAAAAAAAAGAATTGTTCATTTATGAAGCCAAACAAAGGAATGAGGAAGGTGGAGACACCTCTTAATGTCTGGTCAGCTATTAAAACTCGCCACTGCCAGGCAACCTCAAAGTTGCCCAAAAATTATCGTATAAATAATAAAGTTCGTGCACATAATTGCAAATATGGTCGTTTTTGAGAAGCATCTGCTGAAAATTATCCAATTTTTCATGGTGTAAAAATTGTCCACAATAATGAAGCGAGGGAGTGAGTTAATTTCTCGTAAAAAAAAGTTTGCAGACCTTCAATGAATTTGTCTATGAATTCTGCTTTCATTGTTTTATTTTTTTTTTTTATTAAAAATTAAAGCCTTTTTTTGTGGCCTCAAACCACTAAACCAATTTTTTGTGGTAGATAACTGCTTTTCACATTTCATAAACATATCCTCAAAAATATGTAGCAACACTCTTTTAATTTTTTTTTTGTGTGCAATGAATATTTGTTGTATGTGTACCTAATAGTTATTGTGGTTCTTTTATCTCTCCATTAATTTTCAATGAGAAAATAATTTTTTTTTTTTGATAATTTTTCTTTACAGCTATCCAATGGATTTGAATGGAGCGAGGAGGAAGAATGCAACGCGTGAAACAACAAGCACATTGAAAGCATGGCTCAACGAGCATAAGAAGAATCCATATCCAACAAAGGGGGAGAAGATAATGTTGGCAATTATTACAAAAATGACACTAACACAAGTGTCTACGTGGTTTGCTAATGCACGGAGACGTCTGAAAAAGGAGAATAAGATGACTTGGGAACCGAGAAATCGCGTTGAAGATGATGATGTAAATTTAGATGATGACGATCATAAAAGCAATGATGATAAAGATCTACTTGGTAAATAATTTATTTTTATTGTTTGGCTTCTTTTATCTTCATTGATATTTATTTTATTTTTTGTACCCGTTTAGATTCTGGAACGGCATCAAGCGAAGATGGCGACAGACCATCGAGAATGGATCTTATGGATCGTTCACAAGGCAATCACGGTGAGTGGAGTGAATCACGGAATGGTAGTGGTCCAAATTCACCTGACATATATGATCGTACTGGTAATCCACATCCGGCACATGCGATGTTCAATCCATCAGTACTTAATTTACGACCTCCTCATCCTGGTGTCTCGCCAACAAATCCACCGCAAACAGTGAGTGGAAATACAAATCCAAATGTTATTAAACCTAGAATATGGTCATTAGCTGATATGGCTAGTAAAGAGAATAAAGATGAAACACCGAGTCAGACGATAAATAATGGAAATTCATATAATGCATCTGTGCATGGGAAGATCTTATCACCATTAGCCGCAAGAGGACTACATCCACTTCATCATCCATATATGCGACCAGAGCTATATAGGAATTTTTATAGTCCCGCAACTGCTCATTTACAAGGTAGTCCACACGATACTGCAATATTAGAATCATATCAAAGAACTTTTAATGCAACGTTAGCCCATAATGGACTTTCTGGTACAGTTCCATTGAGTTCAGTCCTTAAAGGATCACCGTTTGGTCCATTAAGTTTAACAACTGTATCAGGTATGAATCAACCAACAGCAATTCCACCACCTAGAGCATCATCGCCAGCATCAAGTACGTCATCAACACCCGATCATAATCATACACCGGAAAAGTCATTGTCATCAGCTTCAACGCCGGTGATTCCAGTTCCAATAAATGTTACAAAGCCATGACACTAAAAGCGTGAAATCATATACGGAATGGCATCAGTAAGCAAAAGAATAAGAAGCATTAATTAATTTAAAAAATTCAATTTTATTGCGCGAATTACAAATAAAATATAAATTAAATTAATATGAAAAAAAAAAATAATGAAAAAACATATTAAAAAAATATTGAATGGGACAATAAAAATAACATAAATGAAAATGTGATTTAATTTTCATTTAAAATAAATTTCATCACATGTTCTACGTGGAAACAGGGTAACTTGAAAAACTTTTTTTTTTCATTGCAAAACAACAACAAGACACAAAATAACATTGATTGATACATAAACATGAACAACATATATAATTACATAAAATTAAGTAACATCATACTTACAAATAAATACACCTATTCTGTTATTAAATGTTCTTTTTGCAAACAATTGTCATCGGAATTAATGAATTTTGTTCCATCCAACTCTCTGTTTTAATTGTTTTTGACAAATTGAAATAATTTGTGAAATTTCGAAAATTATTTATTAGCCTTTATGGATTCGATCAACTTTGAAAACCTATTCAAAAGTTGAAAAATTGTAAATTTCTGTTGTAAATTTTGAATAATGATGCTGAGAGGACCGAATCTTAACTAGATTCTATAAAAATGATTCCAAGATGATCAAATTTAAACTAAAATACTGAATTTGTCATCTCGGAAGTAAATTTCATCCCCTTAGTAAGGCATATTAAAATTTGAAAAATCCGTTATAAAATTAATTTTATCATCTCGGAACCATTTTCCAACTCCTTTCAGCATGGCAAATTTAAATTTGAAAACTCGGTTGAAAATATTTCCGTTAAATTTAAAAGTAAAATCGATACTATACCGACACGACAAGTCAAACGATAGCAAATAAATGATCATATCCTATTTTTATTGAGTGTATAACTAAGTTCCGAAGAAAAATAATAATGTTTTGTTTTTCTTCATGAAAAATATGATGATAATCAACGAATAAACAAGAAATAACAATAATTGAATGAGAAGAAAACCACATAATAATTAATTTATCTCTCCTCCTTTTTGTATACATTGATGTATGTATAATAAATTCTTTTTCAATAAACTGTAGATGAAATGAATCATAGGTAGTGTACATGTGATATATGTAAAGTAAATAAATTTAGAGAATATTTGTTAATTTAAAGAGAAATGAAAATGGATACACATATATTATGATTATACATAAAAATTATTATTATAACATCAGTTTTAAAACAAGAAAAATAATTAAATTGAGATTGAATACAAATAAGTATAAACAATATGAAAAAATAATAATAAACATTAACGACGCGAGACATATCGAAGATTATGATGATAATAATGAGAAATTTACGGATTTTTAAGTTCATCATGCCATAACTTTTTTGTCATCAACCAATTTTTTTTTCTCATTTGACATGACTGAATAAATTATATTGTTACATTTCTTGTCCTCATAATTTCCTAATTCCCATTAAAATTAATATTTGATTGCTGCAATGATAAGTTTATTCTACAACTATTGGCCATTTCACTCATGAATCGATTTTTATTCAAGATTAGTATTAGAATTAATCCTTGTGGTCTTGTAGATGAACAGCTTAAATTATTTGTTAGTAAATCCTGTTCAAGCACAATCTAGATTGATGGTTTTGACTTACTCTCTTTTGTATTTTAAGCAGCACTGGGTATGCAGCTGCTTAAGAGTTTAATAAGTTATTTTTGTAAAAAGGTGCAAATTTTATATTTTATTGTCAAACTTGCTCAGAGTTTTGTGGAAATTTTTCCCAATTTTGAATTTAAATAACGGTCAAGTGTATCTGGGAGTTGAGTATTCGTACTTTTGAGGCATATCTTTATCCCCAAACTGTACTCCTCAAAATCATAATTGACAATTTTAAGTTAAAAAATCCAATAATGAAGTATAAAATGATGCAATCAATGAAACAGCCTTCACTTATTCATGTAAAAAAGCTATTATACTTTAAAATGTATTAACAAGCAAATCACTTCCTTTCCTATCCTTAAAACTAAACAACACAAAACTTTTCGAATTAACAAAATTTATTTCTCTTAAGTTCACAAATCTTTAAGATGAACAGCTCAAAAATTACACTGAAATCATCTGGTTCGAAGACTATTCAATCAACGGAACTAATTGACACAGTTTTAAGTTATTTTGGCACATGACAAGCATCGCTGTGTTGCCAAAATTATTGATAATCATAAATCACAAAAAAAGCTGTTCTTATCAGTCGGAACCACGCTTGAATAATAAGACTAAGTTGGCATGTTCTTTATTGATCAAAAATCAATTGATTCCAGTGGAGTTTTTGTGCTGATTCGAGACATATTTCAAAGAAAGAGAATAAAAGAAAATCATATGAACAAAAAATAAAATTTAACTTCTTTATGAAATAAGAAATCGATGTAAACTATAGAATGATATGTAAAAATAATAATAAAAATAATAATAATAATGGTAATAATAATAAAAATAATATTAATGATGATAAAAATTATAAAATAAAATGTAAAAAAAAAATCTTATGTTATATAGTTGCAATAAATACGATGAGAAAAAAGAAATCTTTTAAAATACAAAAAAAGAAAAATATTTTGTTAAAATTATTACGATATGAATTAATTAATGATAATGTTTTATGAGGACGACGATAAAAAAGAAAGAACAGAGAAAAATTATGTACTTCAAATTGTCAACATAACCAAAATTGCATAAAGTTTGTTTTTTTCTCTTCATTTGGTAAGTAAGTTCATTTCTTTTCCATTTCGTACAGCACAAATAACTGAAATTCCAAAAAATTCTTATTCCATCATAAATTCATTTTTTATTGATTTTCAATCAACGAATTTTAAATGAAGCCAAAAAGAGGCACAAAAACAGCCGAGCAAGAGAGAGAAAAGTTTTATGTCTAGAAAATGATTTCGACAACAAATTATGTCTCCGTTTTTATGAAAGAACATAAATATTCCGCTTCTTGTCAACATCATATCAACATTGCTGTTTATTATTGACATGAACACTGCTTTTGAGAATGCAAACGATTTGAGAAGACATTTGAGAAGTTTTTAGCAATGTTTTGCAAACCTAGTTTGGCTTTTTTGTCGTTAATCTGACTCGATGTGATGTTTTTGATCAATAATTTAAATTATATTGGATTTGCTGTACTCAAAGTTGGAATAAAACATTCTTGCCACTTTTTTGAAAGATATAGACCTTATCTTAAGCTACAAAATCCGTTATTTTTTGAATAATCAACAAAACACTTTCTGAATTGGAGATTTTCCACCATTTTTGTTTGCCAAAATTATTTAAATTTCAGAAAACCTTTAAAAAAAATTATTTTTTCTATTCTGCATTTAATTTTCGTAATGCGCTTAAAGAATTCGCATCGCACTCAATTTTGATAATTTTTTCAATATATTTTTTATTCTGCTACAGCTTCCTTTAATATTAACAACAACAAAAACACATGAAAAGATTTCTTTTTCATAAGAAATCTGCGATTGCAGTTTATGTTTCTCTCTTACATCAAAACATGTGATTTACATTACTCACAACAAAAGTATTTAAGCATATTTTTCATTTGTGAGAAGGAAAAGAGACACATTCTGTGCCTCTTTATGTAATTAATCAATTTCAATTTCACGGGTTCAACGAGAGTAGAAAGAAAAAAAGATGAAAATCCAAAAATGCAATTAATCAGCACTTTTTAATTAAGCGTTTTATACATCACGTCTATTCATAGACAAACGACGATTGACAGGAGTAAAAAAAAGAAAAATAGAAAATAAAAAAAAGACTTTCATCTGTCTTCATGGCTCCATTAATTTTTTCTCCTCCTTCCTACTATCATCAGTGTCGTAAATATTAAACAAATCACCTAAGCAGACAATCAAATTATGCTCATTCACTTAATTACCATATCAAATTACGCCTGAAGAATGTGTTTGACTTTTTGAACTGAACTGAAACGAGCGGTTTCACATTCTCCCCATCAACTACTTACTCGTGAATGAATTGGATTTGTTTGAGATTTTCTTAAGAAAAAAAAGAAAGAAATAAATGTGTTTATGGAGAGAAAGACGATGATTCAATTCTGTGTGGTGCCATATGATTTTTTAAAAAATAGAACTATTGTCAAAAAATTCATTTCAAGATTTTTATTTTCTTTTTCTTTCGCGTTCAAGTGTATATATCACATTTTGAAAATTGTTTCCAAACATTGTGCAGTGTGTTTAACAAAGTATGAAGTGTGGGCTTGTTAAGGAATTCCGTCATGCATTTTGATTTGATTTAATGACTTAAGGAAACTTGTATTAAGTTTTGTGGTTTGTATGAATGCAACAGAGATTTCAGTTCAGTTTAAAATTATATTTTTAAATGATTTGTATTAGATGAGTAGCCATAACCTTAAGAGTTGTCAGAATTGAATCTTCTTGTAATTCTAAGTTTTAAGTCATATACCCATCATATATTGACTAGGTACAATATTTTGTTTTATTTGGTAATCATCTGAATCTATGCATTCTAAGGTACATGTAGAGTTTGGTAAGCCTAAACCAAAAAAGATATTAGTAGGAATTGAACTACTTACATTTTACAAACATTTATCGACTTAAACTCAAATTCTTAAATGTAGCAAAAATTATCAGTTCTAGTCAACGTTAAGTTTTATTCTTCCACAGCAGTTTGGTACATCGATTTTCATTTTTAAGGGTAGTTTACTTCGGATAGCCCCTGGATACTGGTCCAAGGAACCTTGCCCTAAATGAAAAAAAATAATATCCAATACTCTAAGATATTATTTGCACTTGATTGTGTGTAGTATCTTACTCGCTGTAGCCCTTGAAACTGCCTACAGCCTATAGCTCTTGATCCCTACATGTCCACGATTAGGCATGATTTACTTTCAACGTAGATAAATTTTTAAATTTATTAAAGTAAATTCCAAGATAAAAGAAGGTAAACAAATTCAAACAAGAACAAAACAAGACGAAAAAAAAACTTCCAGAACCTCAGCACAGACCCACGAAAAACTCCCAAGATAATCAGTAATTAAGACGCTTGAAATATGCTTCGTATTTAATTTTATTTTGTATATTTTTTTACACATACTTATTTTTCTCTCCACTTAAAGTAGAATAAAGTAGAAGTATCAGAATAAGAATGTAAGAAATGTTCTTTACGACGAGAAAAATATCATCATTTCAAATTGTTGCATCTTCTCCGAAAATAAACATATTACTAACGCATGAAATTGTTCACATCTGTTTGTTCACTTGGAAAATTATTACTTTATAAATGATTTTCTTGTTTTGACATTCGAGTATCAAACGAGTCTCGCCTCAAGCGTGGAACCAGAAACGAAAAAATTAATTAAGGAGAAACAAAAATCTGACGCTTCATTTGAGGATTAATTTGCTTCTTCTAAATAACAAACGCGAGCGATAAAATTATGCTTTATATGAATGTGAATTTTCGTTCTTGTGCTTGCTAAAAACAGCACATAAAAATATTTCATTAGGGAAACAAGCATGTTTCGTTGTTTTGTCATATGGGGCCATTCACTTATTACGTAACGCTTTTAGGGGAAGGCGGGGGGGTTCAAAGATTTTGTTACGGTTCAAACAAGGAAATTTTTTTTTCATACAAATTTTGTTACGAGGGGGGGGGGGGGGGTCTAAGAAGTCATTTTTTCGCGTTACGTAATAAGTGAACAGCCCCTATTCAAGAACAGAAAGAAAAAAATTATTTATAACTTCTTTTATAAAATAGACAGTAAATCAACAGTGATGAACGCGGTTCTTTTGATGACAGTTTCAATGTGCATAAAATAAAAATAAGATGTCAAATAAATTTAAAAGTTCTTTTCATTCTAAATCGTGCTATATGTATGCAATAAGAAAAATATGTTGTCTAGTGTGAAGAGATTAAAGAACGATAATTATTTGAATCAACGATGGAAAAATATTTTCATTTTCATTTCACTTCATTAATTTAATTCAGAGTTGTTCATATGCTTA